TAAACTACCCACTGGCCACTGAATTATGATTTTTGAGCCCTATGATATTTATGAAAAATCACAGTTTAATTTACGAGAAAAATATGTACCTTAATAYATTGTATACTCAGATTATTTAATTGTTATCATCCTTTACAAGATGGTAGCGTAAAGGGATATCAAAAACTCAATTGCTCTTATTAAAAAAAAAATAGCTGGATCCCTTTACACTGCCATTTGTTTTTATCATCAAATATCTGATTGAAAAGGGATACGTCATATCATGCTTAATAGGTATTCGATGAACATTCATAATGCCTACGAACTAAAAATGCAAACTATAAAATGCCAATCAGAAAAAAATGTGCCCATATTATGTCCTTATATTATCGATATTTTTAGAATTCGATAAGATTCTATAAGATTTTAGTGTAAATAGATATATATTTCATAACATTTTCAAGTTTTAGACTACAATTGAAAATCGTATGAATTTTTATCTATAAAATTGTACTAACTTAAACATTTAAAACAAAATAATTTTTAAATATCTGTCAGCATAAAGTTAAAGTTTTCCAGATTTTTAACAGGGCTTAATATTTTTTATAGGCACAGTATAAAAAAGAAAATTACAAATTTCAAATGACTATAAATAGCTTAAAAAGCTAAAATATATTAAAAATATTATCATGTCTGGAAAATTCTAATATGCTTATCTGATGAAAATTAAATGTTCATATTTGTTTTTGAATTGAAATACAAAACCAAACTTTAAGCAGCTGCAKGTTATGCGTTAAAATATACCCATTATATATTATATTATAATTTATACAATAATGTTATTGTTTTTCGACATCAAGTTTTTTGGTTTTTCACAATRATTTGGATGAATCTTAAAAATAATAAACTTAAAAATACATAATAATGTATAACCATAGTATAATTTACCAAAGAATCTTAAACAGCGTTGAATTGTTTGGGAATCAGTATTTTTCAACTGATGGGATTATTATGATTTATGATTATGATTAATAATTAAATTAAAATAATAACAAACCACTGTATTATGGAAGGAAGACACACACTAAAATGTGATTTCATTGATTTTTTATATATTTTTATGATTTAATTGCTATTTGTTATGGTTCAAATTCGGAGTTCCAATTATAAGTATATTTTGAAAAAGTCTTTATATCTAAGAATTTAAATTATGATATAAATTATTTTATTATACTTTGACTACATACCTATCTGAAACGTAAAAACATTATTATTCTACAAATCTTTTCGTTTTAAGCACTTTTTAAGCCAAAAATGAATCGTTACTAAACTGCAATCGTCTTTCGAACAAACCATCATTTTACTCTGAGCAAGAATATGGACAAACAACAATTTCAACATAATATCATAATAGTCTTAAATAATAGTGTAAATAATATAAATAACAGAACGATCTATGTATAATATTATTATCGTATATAATGTACACAATTAGTATGATTTTTTTTCTCCGGAGAATTGAGCTCATGGTACTGCTAATGAATATTTGTTTCTGTTCAATTGAGTGCCACCAGTGTTTTTAGTTCTCATTCTTATGGGTTCACACCTGAAATACAACAATTATTACATTGGAATTTATTTCTGCAGCAGAATAATTATTTAAACCGTCCAAAAATCACCCGCAAGTATAATTGTCAAATCCATATCCCGAAGTGCATTCCTTGATTTCACGACATTCGCACTTGCATGTCGCCGAGTTCCATTGCTTTAAATCGTATTCGTTGCTACACTTCTCTTCGTCATCTTCGTTGCTGCACTTACAACGGCATTCTTTGACATTGTACGTCTGCAATGGGCCACAGTTCTGCAGAAATAATAATAATTATAATCAACATATTATCGTTATTAGACACACTTATATAATATTATGAAAATAAAATTAAAACTTGTTATCAATCGCACTTCTTCTTTAACGACGCATCCGCACTTGCACTTCAAATGTCGGTCTACTGACACCGTTTTTCTACCTTTGAATTCTAATTTTCCTTCTCCGTTGTACTGCGATACCAATACCTAAAAAAAAATGCACGTCAGTAAATTGAGTATCTAACGACCAAGTTTCATAACAGGTATTTTATTTTGGATCCATCTGCAAGAGTTCTCTATTTCACGTTTAAAATTCAATTCGCAAATTCACGTTAATTGAACTACACGAGCAGAATCTGTAAATTTAACTTCACGCGAGTCCGAGAATTTCGTTATTATATCACGCGATTATTATTACATTTGATGTTGTATTTTCAGTACAGCTTCCAATAGTTTCTACATAAAGATGATCAGTGATCAATTATTTATTATGAACAGAATATCCATGGAAAACTAATATTTCAGAATGCGATTGTTTCGACGAATGTTAACTATGAAATTTATTTACATTTTACGCGCATTTAAAAGTAGTTGAAAAAATATTCAATTTAAATAACGAAAAAACCATTTCATAAATTTTGTTACAAAACCACCCGTCTGGCCGTTTTACGATAATACTAGCTGTTCATAGAACATTTATATTTTTAGAAGAGTATGTATAGATATTTGCAGTTTTTTATTAC